TTTTCTGAAGACAGTCAGTTCCTTTCAGAAACACATTCATATAAACCCCCAAATCAATATTTAGGATTTTCTTCCAATAGTTCGTGCATCATGAGCAGTGTGTGATCTGCCTGCTACAGTATTTTTCTCTTTGCGACCGTCTTCAGCGTCTCTGGCCTGTGTTAACGGGCGCGTTAATAATGCATTATCGCAAATTCATTTTAACGGCACTAATTTTATTAACACGCGACTAATGCAGTGCACATTTTCTGTTTCAGGGCTACCTCTTAAGTCCTTAAAAAGTCTTAAGAGGTCTTAAAGAGGTCATATGATGTTGCTAAAAATAACATTATTTTGTGTATTTGGTGTAATGAAATGTGTTTATGCGGTTTAAAGTAAAAAAAAAAACATTATTTTCCACATACTGTACATTATTGTTTCTCCTCTATGCCCCGCCTTTCTGAAACGCGTCGATTTTTACAAAGCTCATCGGTCTGAAAAGCGAGGTGTGCTGTGATTGGCCAGCTATCCAGTGCGTTGTGATTGGCCGAATACCTCAAGTGTGTGACGGAAATGTTACGCCCCTTACCATACTGTGATGCCCTGTCCGGCCAGAGTGACGATTCAAAAACATTAAAACCCATTATTAACGAGGCATTTGTTGCATCCAGTGGGGACATAATTACGGATTATAATGACTTATACTGTCTTTTTACGCGTTGCATTGCATCGCACCCCTAAACATAAAACCATAAAACCATGTCTGCATTTGTGATCGGAGAAATGACGGCTATAGCCCTATACCAGTAACCAGACCAGCGATGAGCATAGTCAAAATAGCCTTAAAATTGTTTACATGTAATTTTCACCCACGCAGCTTCTTATCAAATGCAAGCAAACTTTTGAATAATTTAAATTATCATTATTTTATATTTTATTTAATTGTTTTACAGCATTATTAAATATAGCATTATTTATTATGCCAAAAATAATGCTAATTTAAATGTTTCAAAAGTTTACTTGCATTTGATAATATGATGTCATGCATCCCACACGCTGTTATGTTACATTCATACACATTATATGATATTATTGATATTCGGCTGTCTTTCATTTTATAAATAAAAATGCAATTACAATTCCCAACCGCTAGATGGCAATTGTAGCCCTACTGAGACATGACTACTGGCAACGCGAGACGTGAGAGTTAGAGATCAGTGTTGTGTTTTGAATTTTTTTTACACGAGAGAGCACTAAGTTTACTTGTGGGAGAGCAGCCGGCAAACAACAAACGATAAAGGACATTCCTACTTGGTCTTGTACGTATCTGTGTTTTCGTTTTGACATGTGTTCATTATTTATCTATATTATTTGTTATCATGTTTAGGAACCGTGACATTTTAGTGAAGGGAGCAGATCGTAGTTGATAGTGATCCGTGACTAGACGAAAGAGCAAACAACAGAACAAACACAGCTTTGACAAAGATTAATCCATATTAATTTATACAGTGAACACACTCAGAAGAATTGGAGAAACTATGGAGGAGTTTCAACATCTTGTATTGTATTTATAACATTTTATTTTGTCATTAATTCTTTTGTATTTTTATTTTGTAGTGTTTAATAAGTTTAATCATATTTTTGTATTGTCTTAAGTTGTCCAAGTTGTTAAAAATGTTATTTTTCTTAATAAAAGCAGGCACTACAAAACACTGCCTTTGACTTTACTATTTATTAATGTGAAGTCATACTTTGGGCAAAGTTTTTACCCTATGCACTGTAAAACCATGCAGCAGATGCAGAGGTGTGGTCATTGTGGATTATGTAAGCTGGTCTGATTTAACTAATGCAGTCTACATTTTTGGATTAATAAGAAAATATATGCATCCATTTCTCTCAAGGCTGAGAAGACTGAAGCTGCACTATGAGCTGGGTAGCAGTGCTAGTACTCATTCTATTTTCATATTAGAGGTTGTAAGTGTCATAATGGATGGAAATAAATAAAGAAATAAGCTATGTCTGACAAAACAAAAACAGTGAACGTGTGGAAGGTAATTCATTCGGTGATATTTGTGACCGTGGACCACAAAACCAGTCACAAGGGTCAATTTCTCGAAATTGAGATTTATAAATCATCTGAAAGCTGAATAAATAAGCTTTCCATTGATGTATGGTTTGTTAGGAAAGGACAATATTTGGCTGAGATACAACTATTTGAAAATCTGGAATCTGAGGGTGCAAAAAAATCGAAATATTGAGAAAATCACCTTTAAAGTTGTCCAAATGAAGTTCTTAGCAATGCATATTACTAATCAAAAATTAAGTTTTGATATATTTATGGTAGGAAATTTACAAAATATCTTCATGGAACATAATCTTTACTTAATATCCTAATGATTTTTGGCATAAAAGAAAAATCGATAATTTTGACCCATACAATGTATTTTTGGCTATTTCTACAAATATACCCCAGCGACTTAAGTCTGGTTTTGTGGTCCAGGGTCACATTTGCTTTTGATGTCCACATGTCAGATAGATTCTCTGAAAAAAATTATATAAAGTCTTACTTGAATGTCATGATATGCTTTTGACATTATGTTGTGTAAATCACAACATATCTACAATCAGTTTCTATTCCATATTTGTTCGATTTTTTTTTTTTTTGTGAATTTTGTGTTAGCCTATAGCTGTAACTCGAAAGGAGGCGAACGGTATCTAATTTGAAATTGTCTGAAATGAACACCATGTTTCAACACTTATGTGCAATGTCACATACAAGTAACACTGGTGATGCTTCACTCCAGTTCAGTGCATTGGGGAACAGTGGCCTTATATAATTAATCATTAAAGAGCCTGAACTGCTGAAAGACAGACATTGTTATATGGATGCTACAGAAAAACAAATCATGAAATCCTACTATTACCATAATCTTTTTAAAGGATGGTCCAAAAAAGTTATTTAGCAGCATCAGAACGAATTACTTTCATTAATATTTAGCTAAGTCTTTTCATTCTTGTGGCATCACAGCAAGCTCATTGATTTCAAGGTCTGTGTGATCCCTTAGTAACAAAGAATTTTGTTGTGGGGCCCAAAACAAAATTGTTATGGGTGAGCCTCTCAAAATGAGTACCTAATGTGGTACTCGTAGTACCTAAAGTGGACGTTTGAAGGCTGTGTTTGTCCTCGTAGTTCAAGTGAACCACTAGTGCGTTCACAGCTTTACATGCGTTTGTCCTCTCAGCAGCAGAGGGCGCTGTTGATAGTCCTAAGAATTTCAGCAGATGGCGCTGCAGGCTAATGCAATAAAACGATGAACAGCCTCTGATATGCTTATGCAAGTTTAGCTCATGCCGTAAATAATTTCATTATAATATAAGAAAAAAATTAAACCTTTTTCTTTGATATTTAAACCCAGCTTGGTATAGCATGAGGGGGCAAAAGCAAACCATTTTAATGCTTCGTCAATATATCTGTTTTTAGCTGCTTTGATATTACTTAAACTAAAGTTTGTAAGACATATTTTTGCTAAATAAGCTAGACAGGTCATAAAGAAAGTGTTAGAGCAGACTGAGAAATACAACGGAGACTTAAATTTGAATACACATTGGTATCTTTTATTAATCAAAGAAACTTGTACAGACAGTAGAACTGACAAAATACTCTGCATGTAAACTACACATTTGCAGATAGGTAACATTTACAGATGTGTTATACTCAGTGCTGTTCAAATCTGATGCACTTGGAAGTACTGATGGCTTAAAGAGGATATATGACACCACCTCATCCCTTTATGGGACCTTATTTTTGTAATTTTGTGGAAAACTATTGGTGGTCAACAAATAGTGAGTCATAAATCATCTAATTATGTTATTCTGTATGTCATATCCTCTAATCATTTGTGTGTATACATTTCTTATAGTCTCTACCCCAGTGATACTGAGAAAAAAAATATACGTTCTGCATATGATAGAAAACAACTACGTAGCATTAAAATATTTAAAACTTTCATGGCACACTTAAGATTTCTGAAACAAAATCCTGTTTACATAACAAACGCATACAATATATCTATATACATTAGCCATAGGCTCAAACGAAGATACAAAACTGAAGTACAGCAAAGAGAAGTTCAATTTGAAACACCTCCATAAAACCCCAGACACTTTTGGCCACGTGACCAGTTCTACAAAATTGGAGGAAAAAGATACAGAGAACGTGATATTGGCACCTGTTTCATACAAGTCAATATCATTTCTTGTAAGTAGCTCAGATCCTCACTTTCACATCCACACTTACAGTGGACGTTTAGAAATCTGCTTTTGCAGGAATTTAATATACAAGAGAGAGAGAAAGAAAGCAAATCTCTTTGAACTATACAAATGTTCAATTATAATACCACTACTTAATTGTAGTATAAACCTTGTAGCACAAAATAAAAAAATAATAAAAATGATGAGAACTTAACCATAACAAATATCAGAAAAAACATGAAACAAATTCAATCATTCATCTTCTAATAATGGAAAAGCAGCATGGTTCAAACAACATAAATCTACTTTTAACACTGAAGTTTGTTGTATAAAAACATGCTCGCTAAAATGCCCGTACAAGAACTTTGCGTTTTTACAATATTAGGTATAATTAATCAAACAAAAATGAAGGCCGATCAACTGAAATAAGACCAATAAATACCCAGTGTGTACATTCGAGTATATTATTTTTAAGATAATTTCTTTTGCCCAAATTTCAAAATGAATGGTGAAAAAAGTATAAATAACAAAATACCAATAAATTAAAAAAATATATGGTTAGTACAAGAGCATATAAAAGACCTTCAGTAAGCAGGCTTCTGGTGCCTTCAATTTTTTTTTTTTACTTGAACTGCTCCGGTATGTGTCCGATTTGCGACTGCATGCTGGTGGGCGGGCTGGAAATGCCCTCCGACCAGTCAGACATGTTGGAATGAGGCGATGAACTGGACCACTGGTCCGGTGAACCCGGAGACGGCGTGAGGAATGGGTGGTCAGGCCCTTGGAGTTGGTGGCTGGGGGTGTTGGTGTCCATTGGGGCTGAGTGACTGTGCTGGGAAGGTGGCGTCAGGAACTGCGTTCCCGCCATGCTGGGGCCCAGAGAGGATGGGTTCAGCAGCTGGGTCTCCTGGGGGATGATGGTGTGGATGCTCTGCTGGAGCTCCGGTCCACCCAATTCGCCGCCGAGTAAGTTTTGGCTCACGCCGCTGGGTGGATTGGAGCTCTGGTGCTGCAGCTGGACGATCGTCTGCTGCTGTCTCTGTTGCATGTTCTGCTGCATCATTAGATGCGGCTGTGTGGTGAGGTGAGTGTTCTGCAGGCTTTGATAGTTCATCATCTGAGACAGCGTGGCGGGACGGCCGTTGTGAAGAGACGTCATCAGGCCAGATTGGTGAAGGTTGGCCTGACCTGAGGCGTTCCTCATGGCTCCGAATTGATTTTGCAGACCCATGCTATTGTGCATCCGCCCGAGCCATTCGCATTGGCCGTTCATGATGTTAGAGCCGTTAGATCCGGTCACTGGAAGATGGGTGAGACGTGGGGGTAACGGATCGAACTGTATATGGGCCAGTTCTTGCTTGTTGCCCATCCCCAGGTGGTTGACGCCCATGTGGGTGTCTGAGATACCCTGTAAGTGATTAAGCGACATGGAGGGTGATTGCTGGAAAGGTGATGTCATCAGGGGTGGGGAGGCGACATCAGATATGTACCCGTGAGGCGACTCCAACGAATCGACTGGCGAGAGCACGGCTGAGCTGTCTTGTAAGTTTCCCTTTCCATCCTGTGCCTTCTTCCTTTTGACTTTCATATCTTTGCAACCGATGCCTTTTGTGCTTGGCTTGCGGGGTTTTTTACTATGTACGGAGGGCTTCATGCTACCCATGAAGGCGTTGGGGGAGCAGAGAGGCGGGGAGAGGGTGGTGCAGAGGGGGGCGCTGTGCATGGGAGGGCTGCGGACCAGGTTGTATTCGTCGTTGAGCCGCACGATGTCGTGATGCATTCTGTCCTGAGCGATATCCCGCGGGAGCCGATCCATATGGTCTGTGATCTCCCGATTAGCGAAATGCTCGAGAAGAACTTTAGCAGTCTCGTAACTTCCTTCTCTTGCCGCCAAGAATAGAGGAGTCTCCTCCTGAATGGCAAAATAGTTGGTAAGCCAAAAGCATTTTGAAAAAGTTTTTGTACTATGTTAATACGAATATTATGTGAGGTGTGTTATGTCTAAAATATCATGGCATTATTTGTGATACAGACTAATCAAGTGCTGCTTACCTTATTGTTCTGCATATCTTTATTTGCCCCGTTCTTAAGCAATACCATCGCTGCATCTACGTTGTTCACAGCTGCTGCCCAGTGAAGTGCAGATTTACCTGTAGCACAAACAGAAACCACTTCAGCATGTGTTCCATTACATTCACTGAGGAAACAACAATAGCAATATATAATAATAAATGTAATAGTGATAAAACAGTAACAAATCTAAAAATGTATCTAGTATACATTAACAGTAAAATATCACCATATATTATACATTACCAGTGAAATGTTTGAACAAATCTACTCATTCTTACTACATTCTACATTCTTACTATTTTCCACATTTTAGAATAATAGTAAAGTCATAAAATTCTATTTCAATATATTCTAAAATGTAATTTACTCGTGATGACGAAGCTGAATTTTCAGCAGCCATTTTTTTCAGTATTCATTGTCACATAATTCTTCAGAAATCATTCTAATTTGCTGATTTGGTGCTCAAAAAACATAATGTGCCACCTGATTTACCTTGTAAATGTAATAATAATCATTTATTATTAACATTTATTTAAAAAATCATGGCTTAGGTTTTCTGTCTGCAAAATTATTTTTAAGCATTTAAAAATTAGCCTTTAGATCAGATCATCTAGAAAGACGTTTAAGATAACGAGAAACATAAAAAGCATTTTTAAACATTTGACTGGTAGTGTATGCTGCATTCAAGTGAATCAATGAAGTATGGCAGTGTAATAGTCATACCAGAATCATCAATGGCATTGACATCAGCATGGCAGTTGATGAGTTCCTCCACCATGCCCTCGACTGCAAGTCTTGCTGCCAGTATCAGAGGTGTGGTGCCATCATGCATGCGGGCATCCAGGTCTGTGGCACGGTTCCGTATCAAAATCTGCACAAGGACAAAAGTTAACATGTTTCAGAAAACCGAGATAATGATGCATCGATTGGTGGAAATACACAACATTAAACCTCCTACATATTACTCAGTATTCTCTTATGCAATTGTGGCTCACATACCTGGAAGACCCCTTGTGCATCTGCAGCCACAGCAGCATGTAATGGAGTCCGTCCCATATTGTCCTGGATGTTGGCATCTGCACTGGCCTCCAGGAGCCTTTTTGCAGCATCTGAGCGGGCATAGCGGGCAGCCAGGTGTAGGGAGGTCTCACCCGTACGGTCTGTCTGGTTGTGAAGGTTGGCACCTTGGTAGATGAAGTCATTGATGACGTTGGCTGAAGCATCCTCCTCTTCCTCGCTGTTTCCTGTTTCTAGTCCTCCTCCACTACAGGATGCAATCATTAGTGGAGTAAAGCCATCTAGAGAGGAAAAAGAGAGTGAAGATTTTATGTTTACATTTATGTAGCAGAAGCTTTATGCTAAGAAGATTCTAAATTCCTTTATGACCATTCTTCAGAATTAATTGTAATTTCAACCATATATATATATATATATAAAAAAAAAAATTTTCCCCAGATTTCAGGTTTTCATCATTATTTCTGCTACACAATTCGAAGAGAAAACCTGAGACAAATGAAAGTTAGTTGAAAGAGCAAAACTTTTCCTTTGAGTAGAACTAGTGTGAGGGCAACCCAAACCTAAAAAAATGTTTTCCTCAAAGTGATGGACCAAAGTAATGCCAGAGAAACAAACAAATCGAAGTTGGATTTGACACGCTGCCTTTCTGAATCGCCCCAGATAGCTTCGCTAACGGATTGTAATCAAGCATGGAGGTTTGGTAAATCTCAGGGACGCTGGCCACGCTTTTAAATTTCAACTGCTGGTAAAACAGAGTATTATCACCTCAGAGAAGCTGCTTTCTTTGCTGACTTCGACAGGGGCTTCTCGGCTTCAAAAGAATAGCTATTCCCAGATCAGTCCCGATTTGGTCGATTTTAAAACATCAATCCACACAAAGAGAAAAAAAAAAAAAGGAAAAACAGCTTGCAAAGAGATAGCAAAAGAATGTTGCCTTTGACAATCTTAAAAGTGTTGTCAGGGGTATATTGGTGCTTATAGAAAGAGAGGATGAGCATATCATAAAGAGTTTTAATTAACAAAACACATGTAAGCAGAATGATATCACAGGATGAATCGGTAAGACTGGTAAAAATGTGCTAAGTCCCCAGGGTTTACAGCTTTCAGACAGAGCCTTTGAAGTGGATTCGTTTCCCCACAGGGCCCTGAGCATTAACACCTACTTAGAGCTCAATTCAGTTCCTCATCCCAGCACTCGACAGCACACACACACACACACACACACACTGTGTGTAAAACCGGAGAACAGGTGTAATCCATAAGCAAAGAATGCCTTTTACGCTGGCTGAGTTCTCATTAAAAAATCAGAATGAATATCTCCTTATGTCTGTTAACTAGACAAGTAAAATGATTTCCCTGTGTAGATAAATCAAAAATAACATCAGCCAAAATATACTATTTATCTACCTAATAACTACATGGTCAATGAGGCCACATTTTTATATAAGATTTATATGTGACCCTGGACCACAAAACCAGTCATAAGGGTCAATTTCTCGAAATTGACATTTATACATCATCTGAAAGCTGAATAAATAAGCTTTCCATTGATGTATGGTTTATTAGGATCGGACAATATTTGGCTGAGATACAACTATTTGAAAATCTGGAATCTGAGGGTGCGCAAAAAAATCTAAATATTGAGAAAATCACCTTTAAAGTTGTCCAAATGAAGTCCTTAGCAATGCATATTAATGATCAAAAATGAAGTTTTGATATATTTATGGTAGGAAATTTACAAAATATCTTCATGGAACATGATCTTTACTAAATATCCTAATGATTTTTGGCATAAAAGAAAAATCGATAATTTTGACCCATACAATGTATTGTTGGCTATTGCTACAAATATACCCCAGCGACTTAAGACTGGTTTTGTGGTCCAGGGTCACATATATATATATATATAATTTTTTTTCAGTACATGTCTGAAATTTACATGAAACAGTAAGTTCCGTAACATCTGAATTCTAATGGATTCTAACTTAAACACCTCTGATTGGCCATTGTGTTCCAGAAATCAACAGACAT